TTTTTTGTGCCTTTCTCTTTTGTGCTCTCGTCTCTGCTTTAGGGAATAAGGAATCTGGTTTTCTTGATTTTATCTTTTCTGCTTCACCTTCTTTCTTTTCTTCTTTATCCTCTTCACTATGTAGTTCTTGCGCTAGTTTTTGATCTCTCAACGAGACAATAACAGCTTCCTTTTCATTAATAATGTCCAAGTAGGAAATCTTTTCTGCAAGAAGTTGATCATTTTCTAGTTGCAGCTTTGTCATGTATGATTTTTCCTAATGAACATCTAATTGTTTGACTTTCTTGTGATCTGCTGCTTCCTTAACCATCTTCTGCAGTTGCTGCTGATGCTTCAATAATTCTTCTTTTTCATTGTACAACATCTGAATCAATTTATTCTTTTTAATGCAAGATGCTATTGCATCATGGATCTTCTGATGCTCTTCTTTCTTTGTCCAATATTCAACAGCATTATTGATCGCCATCATATATTCTTTTGTAAGCTGTATTTCATCCTCCTTGTATTTCGGGACTAATCTAACAATTTCCTCAAACAACGTTGAATTCCGGTATTTTGGGATTTCATTTTGGAGGTCTTCTTTTACCTGGTGGTGTTGCTAGACTTGATGTTCAGCAGCATCATCATGGTCTCCATTCACTTCAGCATCCTCCTCCTCTTCATTTTCTTCTTCAGCAGCATCACCATGCTCTTCATTCACCTCTTCAGCAGCATCATCCTTGTCTTCACTCACTTCTTCAACATCATCATCATCATGCTCTTCATTCACTTCTTCAGCAGCGTCATCCTCCTCTTCATTCTCTTCTTCAGAATCATCATCATTCTCTCCATTCTCTTCTTCATAATCATCATCCGGCTCTTGAGCTTTAGTGCTTTTTATCTGTTTGTTGAGTAGAGTTAGTATTAAGAGTGCACTTCTATGACATGGTATTAAGAGTGTAATTCTATGACATGGTTTTAATAGTGTACTTCTATGAAATGGTATTCATAGTTTACCTCTGTGACATGGTATTCATAGTTTACTTCTATGACATGGTATTAACAAGTATGTACATGACATGGTATTAACAATGTTGTCATATCAGCTGCAGATTATTTGAAAGGAAAGAGTACCTTTATCTGGTTGTTCTTTAGATGATGAAGCTTCGCGCTGAGTTCTTGAAGACTCCATTTGACAGCAGCTGGTGTCATTTGTTCTCTTCCAGGAATTGGAGTGAGCAGGTTAGATCTTTGACACAGCCAATACTGCACAATATTTTTTTGAAATATCACGTGTCAATTCATATCATTAGAATAATGCTACGAATTTGCAGTTTGGAGATTTGTGTTCTTACCAGTATTAGGATTAGGCAGCCACTCACGCTTGGCTGCTTTTTTTTGTCCTTCTTGTTCTTCTTTGCTTGTTCTAATCCAAAATACAAGTAGTCCAAAACTCCTCGAGCCCAATTATATTTCCCCATCTCTTCTAAGGTGTCTATTGTGGTTGTATATGTCCAAGCAAGTGTACAACCAGAGTTGCAGAATAGATTGGTCATGAAGAGTTGTAGGATTATCAATCTTGTTACATCCATAGCACCCTCTTCTGTTTCATCTTCAAGTGCTAAATTCAAGCACTTATCAATTGAAGTCTTTGTTATCTTCTTATACCGCGCGAAGTATTTCTCTACAAACTACAGTTTTGGCCTTGTTGAGGTTGTTGTGCTTGGTAACTTCTTGCCACTATTTGGCAAGCCAAAAATTTCAGCCACATCTTTGCTTTTCATCTCACTGTCACCATCATTAAACTTGAACTTCTTTGTCTTTATGTCATAAACTTGTATGAGTCTCACAATGTCGTAGTTAGACTTCATGCACTCTACCTTTGTTAACCTTCTCCAGATATATGCTTCTATCAATGCCCAAAAAGGTGTTTTTGATAGCAGTGTTAAGACATTGTGCCGACATTCAAGTCACTGTCTGATGTTGTCAATTGTTGTTGCAAAAGAGAGCATGTTGCTCTTGATCTGCACATAATTTGGGTCCTCCCATCTGCTTGGCTTCTTGTTTGTTGTTGTTTTGGATGATGACTGTTGGCCTTTTGTTTTAGAGTTTCTTCTGGCTCTTTTTTTCTTCATCTTTTAATTGGTATACCTGCATTAGAAATAGGAACACGACAGTAAAGTATCGGTGTTAATACCCCATACTGGAACTTGACAGTGGTAAACATGCACTAGAAATAAGATTTCATAGGGAATTAGCAGTGTTATTACCCTATATTGGAACTTTACAGTGGCAGACATACCTTAGAAATAGTATTTCATAGGGAACAATTAGTGTTATTACCATATACTGGAACTTTATAGTCATTAATCAACATAAAAGCAAACTAGCAGCTAAATTAGTGACTAGAATAATGGTCATATGCAGTGAGTCCTATAGTGAAATCCAATATAGTTTCAATATTTTGTCTTTCATTCGAATCTAAAATACTGTTATTACCCTAAACTGGATCTTTATAGCAAATAATCAATATTACAGTAAAGGTTTGGTTTGTAAATGTCTTACCTTTGAAGCGTTTTCTAATTGAAATGGTTCTCTGAAATTTTATCTTGGTCAGTGTCTGTTGTTTGTTTTTGAAACGAGATCAATCTTGGTGGTGGTTATGGAATCTTGGTTTGGACGACGATGAAGACGATGAGTGAAGAGACGTTTTGCAGAGAAGGTTTAATGAAGGCGCGCTTGCTGGAAGTTACGGTTTACTTTTTTTTTTTTTTTTGGACGAAAGTTGTTTGGGCTTGTTTATAAGTTTGGGCTGGGTTTGTTTTGGATGTCTTTTGAGTTTGTTTGGTATTGGGCTTGATAGTGGCAGACCTATAATTTATAGAAACTGGAACACTAATTTATTATGTAATAAATAAATTTTGAGTGTGTTTATAAAGTATATTCTATGTGGGGTTTTTTTATAAATTCAAGTCCCATTTTGGGTATATTAGTGAAGCTCCCATAAAATAAACCCTCCCGAATTAAACTTCTTTTACTTGACCCCAAAAACCTTCTTCAAAGTTTCACCCATCCACACCGACCAAGACCAAATGCATAAAACACTAATGCCAAACCAAGGTCTTATAAATAATACAAACAGAACTATACGCCAAACAACAATAGCCTCCATCATAACAGAAAATTTATTATCATGAGAACCCTGTAAGCACTATAAATATTTTGATACAACTATTTCCAGTTGTTGCCTCCTCCAAAGCTCTTCCTTAATTATTTCAATTCCAGACAATGAGGTGATTCGAGTCTGTTCGGAAAAGCGATTCCTGCACATATCTGGACAGGCATATAATGCATTGTCATGATGCCTGCATAATAAACAGAAGAAGATTAAACATAATCAAAATTTGTAAGAACATGACACTTAGGTGTACCACTGTAAAAACAAGAACTGGGTACTAATAATGATTCAATTCCTACATGAGTTGTCTAGGATCGACTTCAGATGGAGAAATGTTCTAGTGGATCTTTGAAGTTTATTTACTCTCTTACAGAATAATAATATTACATAAAACCTAAAATACACCCAAAACACCTACCTCAAGTCTTCCAAAAAGAAAAAATAAATAACAATCACACAGAATTAAAAATAGGCATTACACTAAAACCCTGAATCATCACTACGGTAACGCCCTTATGCCGCAAGATATATTCAGGTCACAAAAAGAAAAAGAACAGGAACAAAAACAATCAATTATAACAAAAAGGATAAAGAATAAGCTTTAAAACCCAAACAGAGATAATTCATTATATTAGAACAGAAAGAACACAATCAGATAATCAAAGAAATTAAAGACCTCAAATCATCAAAATAAAGACCTATTGCATCAAAAATACAGCATCAAATTAAGATGAAAAATTCTCATACCGGGTGACATGTTGCTTGGGATTATTGGAGCTCACCACACACAGGGATTTCGCTACTGTGCAGATGGAGGCAGGGGAGGGAGTGTTACTTCAGATGGAAGGGTTTGGTTCAGAACAAAAATTGCAATGGAGGGTTCTTTTCCAGCACAATGGTTTAGAAATAGGATCATGCTTAACATGGGAGTTGGATATGTAATACATATAAATACATATATTGCATATGTTTGTCATCAAAGAGTGAATTCTAAAGTAAGGCACGCCTCCCATAACCAAGCTCACCATCCATATTTATTTCAACACAGCTTTCTTCTGCCAATCCCATGTCTGTTTTTGCAACCTGAAACTCTAGCGTTGCAACAACTAGCCTAGCTTTTAACCTCTTGACTTCAATCTCCAAAGCATCCACATTGTCTCTCTGTTCTTTCACCAGTCGTGCCCTTTCCACAAACTTGTTCATACCCAAGGCGGATTGAACATGAGGCTCCAACCAAGACAAGTCAAATCTGAAGGTCTCAAGCTCCTCCCATAAAATTTGAAGGTGCTTACAGGCATCCTCAACCATATCCTTACCTTTTGTAGTCTGTAGAAAATACAAGAGTCTACCCAAAGCTGTGAATGCCCATTCAGTAAACATACGACTTCTCTTCCTTTGGCACTCAATCAATGAAGGATGCAACAAACAGACTTCCTCCAGCAATGGAACAAAATCTTTCTCTATTTTCCCTAAACCCTTGAAATCCATGAGCTTGCCAACTGGAGTGGAGGGCGTTTGCTCATGTTCCTTGATTATGGAAGGGCCAACAGGGCTATCATTAAGCTCAGTGCAAGCTTGTTCAGAACTTAGTGAATTCTGGAAAGCAAGCAATTGATCAAAACTTCGTGTCGTAAATGCTATTGAAGAGTTAAGCACCTGTTCAGAACAAGGTTCCCTGAGAGGTTGTGAAGACTCTGTAACTAGCACAGAATCCACATTTGAAGGTCCTAGCGTTTGATCCTCATGCTTTTGGGGCACTATGGGTGTACAAAACCAAGTTTCTTGGACTTCTGAAATCTTATAGTCAACCTGACTGACTGCAACCTCGGCTTCAAGAACACATATATCATTCACAAGAAACCCTCTGGTACAATCACAAAGCTCACTTAGAGGCATGAATGATGTGAAGCCCCAATCACTTTTACTTTCACTGAAAACATGTTTAGTTTCTGTAAAACCAAAATACGATGGATTACAAAACATTCATAAAAAATAAAATAAAAATGAACAGAAAATAGATAATAAAGGAATAATAATAAAGGAAACTCGTTCCAAAGTTACTATCATACATACAGCTATGTTCACTTCTAATATAGTCTAGTATGTTTGCGCAACACAAATAGATATCATTTCATCTGCAAAATTATCTAATTTGAGAATCTCATCACCTAATGTCCCACACCATCTGGAAATATATATAAACTGGACAGCTCCACTTTAAAAGGAAATCGTGGATGACATTTTCATACACATTTTCAGCATAACAAAAGTAAACACCCACACATGCTGCACATGGAGGAGTTTGTTTTATGTTTTTCCAGTAATTACCAACAAGCTCTGTTGCCATATGCAGTCTTATTTCGAAACAATTTTCCGAGGGCAACCGTTTTCATTGAAATGTTAAAGAGGAAATGAACCTTAAAATCAGCAAGTAAACGCCCACGAAGGAAAGATATTACTAGATGAAGAACGGGAAACAAATGACCAAATTTACACAATGCTCTGTTCAATTTCAGTAAGAGAAAATAGAAGAAAAGAAAAAAAGAACGTAATGTTAATTGCCTTCAGAGAATTGACCAAACATGGTATTTCCTAGAAGGGTGAGATGACGTAAGAAAAGAAAAATGTACAATGAACAATAAGACACTCTCCCAAGATAAACTATTTTCTTCAGAAGGAATCTCTCTTGTATGGGAAAGTAAAAGTTACCAATCTTTTTCTCTAAAGTTTTTGAGAGTAAACCAAAATTAAAATGTACAAGGAGTTCACTTTTAATTCACAGCAGCAAAACTACACATTAAAAATGTGAAATAAACAACATGAAGAGTAGATAATTTACCTACTGTGATTGACTTATCACGGTCAACTTGATTCACCACAGTCAAGGTGAACTGGGCATATCTACTCCACCCAGATGGCAATGCTGAAGCATTTGCAACATTCAAATATATCGACAAATCGTGCGTCCCGGGAATTCCACTGCTTCCCTTTGGATACACAACCATCTGCCTGATCAAAACAACCAAGTATAGAGATATATAAGCCAAACATAATAACATATACATATATATATATATTTATATACCAAAGAAAAAGAATGATGGGATTTCAACTCAAGCATACCATTGAAAATCACCAACAGAAAAACCCTCTGAGTAATGCTTCTGGGATTTCAACCTAGAGAATTTTTCAATCGTCCATGTGAATGTCACAGACACAAGCTCCCCAACTTGCTCAGCCTCCATTTTTGGTCTAACAACCCAAAAACAGTAAGCAAAAGAAAAATCACCATATTATAACAATAATAAACACCAAAAATCACACAACAGAGCCTAATTTAGAAACCCATTAACTCAAACATACCTGAAAATATCCAAGAACCAAGTTTCGCAGGGTCAGACAGAGAGAGACACACAGCCAAAATGGAGGTCCAAGACTTTTTTTGGAAATTTAATGGGATATAATTACACAGGGATGACACGACGTGGCACACCTTAAGCCACATGCTCAGAGTCAAGTCTCAATCATTCACGTAGGAGACAGAAGGAGACTCGTGGACCCCGTGAATCGGAAAATGGTGGCAAATGCAACAGTTGCAGCAGCAGCAAAATTACAAATCAGGATTCCGTGGCCGACATCCCACCTGTGATTTGGACCGTTGGATTGCTGGTGTAAAAATTAAAATGTTAAGTGAAAATCCATGCAACCGGTAAAAAAAAAGTTTTGCAAAAAGATAAGATTTGCTGCAGCAGATATTTCAGTGATCATGCTTGCTTACTAAGAAAGACAAGACTCTAGGCCCCACTCTTAACTATAAAAAGAGAAAAGATTTTACATTTGTGGCTAGTGTTTTCTTCTTCTGACAGCTGAATCTTTTTTCTTTTTTTTTATCCCCAAAAACAAAAGTGGAGCCCGCGTGTCTTATTCAACTTGTGAATGTTAGACCATTATTTGTCGCGGGTGTATTTTCAAGATGTAAAGTTACTTTACATTTTTTTTTTTAATATTGGGATGTAAAAATAATTTTTGCTTAAATGTAAATTTAATTTTCTTGTATTAATTTTTTTCTTTTGTAAAGTTTAATTTATTTTTTTACCAAACAAAAATCGACCTAACATTTTTAAAATGCTGACAAAAGTCATAAAATAACATTGTAGGTGTTTACTTCCCCCTCCTCCCTTTAGCAAAAAAAAAAAATTTCACTTTTGAAAAAAACCAAATTTTTTTTAAAAAAGACAGAAAAACCTCTCAACTTTCAAATCAAATATATGCAAATGTAAAGGATTCCTTAGGAAATCCAAAAAGGGCAATTTTGTCTATTTTGACTTCTTTTACAAAATTTCTCTCTCTTTTGTGTTTTTCCAAAATCTCCATTTACTTTACTATTTTTCTAAACCATTTGATGGTTATATATATAATTTTTCTAAACCATTTGATGGCTATATATAAATTTATTTTAAAAGATTTATGAACCTTTGAATTAATTGCTAGTCATTGGTAATTATGGGAGTAAATGAAAAAAAACAACTCCAAACGGCTACAACACTCAACCAAATGGGACTCGCCACTATAAAATGCTGGGCGAGTTAGACTGTATTCGTGCGTCACTAGTGCGTAAATGTGGAAAATTTGCAACTCTTCTCACTTCTCTCTCCTACTTTCTATCACGCAGGGCCTAATTTCAAGATGTAAAAACAGATGTAAAGCTCCATTTTTTTTTTACATCTCACCCTCTTCGTCTATGTTTACACCCAAATGCACACTCACACCGCAGTCTGCAGGGCGTTTTTGGCCAAAAGGGGTGTTAATGTGATATACACCCCCTTATACACCTAATCATTGAATATGCTCTTATCTTAAAGTTTGATATAATATCTCCCCCAAAAAACAACAAAAATACACTCGCTTCGTTTTCACTTTGAAGGGAGAGGAAGCCACTATTCTTCCCCCCTTCTCCCCTTTTCTCTTACTCCTTTCTCCTTTTTTCCCCTATTTTTAGACTGAAGATTTCCCCTTTTTGTCTTTGCTTGGTTATGATTCACCGATCACAGATGGATGCATCTCGGTGTCATATCTCCACCTGCGTTTCGGCCTCAGATCTCAACCATTATCCTTTTTCTGGTTTCTTTATGTTTGTAATAAGTCGCAAAGACTCTTTTAAGTTTTTATGTAGTTTTCACATCTCCTTTTTTAGAGTTATACATCTCTCTTTTGTGAGAGTTTTATTTGTATTGTTATGACTTCGTTTCTTCAAGCTTTATCGATTTTTGATTGCTCTGAGTTTGCAATCTTAGTTGGGATGTCAATGCCAAAATTTCTTCGATCTTGCAAGATCATTAGTGAAGACACACTAGATTGTCTTAATTTTGATGTTAGATCACTATGTTATTGTAATAGGCCTTTGTAGCTAGTTTGTATTGGCCTTTTATTGCTACTTTGTATTTGCCCTTTGTGGCTAGTGGTTTTTTTGGCTGAATTATGAATGCAATTCCAAAAAATTTCAACAACAAAAACGCTTGTTGTAACATCAGTGTAGATATTGTAAAATAAACTGAATATAAGAGCAGAGACGGAGCCACAGTGGGCTCATTGGGGTCAAACGACCTATATAAGCCATGGGAATAGGCTTGGAGGTCTACCTGAACCGATGGTGTAACCCTATGGATTGCCTTCCAACTGTTTGATGTTTTGCCTGAGGAAGAAGAAGGAGATGGCCTGAGAAAGAAGCGTACTGCATTAAATAAAAAATAAAATTAAAAAAAAAAAAAAAAAAAAACCTCCTTGAGCAAAACGACGTCATTTTGGCTCAATCAATTTTTATTTTTTTTTAATGACATGGGCCAAAATAACGCCGTTTTGAGCCAAGTCACTTAAAAATAAAAAACAAAAGTTTTCCTTCACCCTTCCCCCACCCCTCAAAGCCCATCCGATAATCACCCCCCAAAACCCTCAATTTCTATTATTCTCTTTTCAAACCCTAACCCCAACATCCTAATCCGCACCTACTATAGTGTCGTTGATGTGTTTCCACTGCCATCAGAGTTATGTCGTCAGCCACCACCTATTATTGCGTCACTATTATTGTTGTTTGGTTAATTGGCATAAGTATGGTTTGAAATTTTACAAATTGAAATCACTCAAAAACATAAATAGAAAAATGACATATTGAAATAATCCTAGTATATTTGTCGGAGAAAAGAATAATATTTGGAAGAGAAAAAATAGATACTAAAAAAATAACCCTCTCTTAAATTTTCTTTGAAACATTTACACCAGGACCACATGAGATTCGAATCCTTGATCCGTCATTGTATAAAAGCTTACGTCTCTCTTCTCACTATCAGGTGTATTGATTTCAAAACGTACGGCACCAACTCAATTTATCTTTAGTATTGAAGGCTTTTAACCATAGCATTCATTGTGTTGTTGTAGGTTGAAAACCACTTCGTCACTCTTCCATCACATTTTGTTTCTTATTTTCACCCTTTTACTTGTGGGACCCACCATTTGGAGCCCTCCTCTTTGGATGTTTGCAAGTCACTAATTGGTTGCTTCATTAAAACCTTAGTAGGAAAACTTTATGGGAAAAATACCTAAGTGAAGAACAAAAGAGTACAACTTTGCTTGGGACATTGATATAGCGTTATGCGCGTTTATGTTGCCTTGTTAAAATTTTGTTTAAAAAAAACTCATTGGGAAAAATCTTAGTCGAAAGAAAAAGAGTACAACATGCATATATCGTGTGTTAGAGGACTCTCGAATGCTCTCCTTATTTATGCATGCCTCAATTTAATTGTTTACAAAGTCGACGTAATTTGATATCATGTACTAGCTTTTGAAATGTACATTGAAATAGATTTGGTTAAGAGTTGTGCCAGATTATCATTTGAACGTATTTTTCTGACTTCGATTTCATAATTCTTCTTAAGCTCATGTGTGTGGAAAAGTGTTTGTGATACATGTTTAGTCATGTTGCCCTTGATGTATACTCTTCTATTAATGAGCAAATTAACATTTGATGAGTTGAAGCTTGAGTGCTTTGATCCTTGTGTTGATGGTGAGAAGTGGCTCAACATGACTTTTTTCGGCAAATTGGTTCAGTAGAGGTTCATGACTCAAATTGCATTTAATGCGGTCGCTCAGTTCTTCTTTCGCTCCTGAAATTTCGCAGTTGTTGAAGTCAACTCAAGCTTCTATTTTGGGTAAAACGCATTTACCCAAGTGAAACCTTTTGAATTGTAGGTAATAACTTTTGTAGAAAGTTAAATTCCATTGGGCTAAATCACTACTTTGGGCCTTCTCTTTTAAGCCGAGCTCCCTTTTCAATGAACCAAGTGGCCCAAAGCCTATCAAACATCTTTAAAAACCTTACTGGGCCTTTTTTAATGTTTGGCCCAAACAAAAGCCACGGACGAATAGAGAAACGGGGGAAAATAAGAATCCCTTGAGCAGATTTTGCTTAGGAAGAACAAGGGAGGAATATAACATTAAAAAAAAGGAAAAAAAAAAAGGAGGAATAGAAAGAGAAAGGAAGGAAAAAGAAAAAAAATGGGCGGCAGCCATGGCAAGCAGTTATGGGTGGAGGCTTTGTCGGCAAACTCAGGGAGGGGGTTGCTGAGGCATATTCTTTTTCTCTTTTCTAAGTTTTTTTTTTAATTTTTAAAATTTTATTTTTAAGATTGGTGCGCTGGAAGAGTTAGTCATTTTCTTTCCTTGTTTTTTTTTTGGTTTATAATTCTTAATTTTTTAAAAATGTATTTCTTTTTATTTAAATTTACGTGGCATTATATTATTGGATATACAAGCCATATCAGCAATTTAACCGAATTTTGGATGAAAGTTAAGAACAAAGATTACTTGTTTGTGAGCACCCATGTTAATCTAAGCACCATGAGCCATGGGTTTAGGCGAGTGAACAAAACTTTAACTTGTGGATTAAAGGTCTTAGTTTCGAATTTCCACGACTTCATAATTGTGTATGTGTGAGAAATCCTTCTTATCTCTAGTTTAGACTATCGCTTATACTAAAAAAAATTGTAATCACCGCAAATGTCACCAAAACAATAAAAAATCAAAAAGAACACAATCAGATAGCTTGGTTACCTCAATGATGTTTTGCGATAAAAAACCAAGTATTTATTAGTCTAATTCTACTAATAAATGAAAATGATGTAGAAAAAGAAAGTGACAACATTTCTTGTTTGAAAAAAAAGTATAAAACGACAAATAAATAAAAAGTATTAGAAAGAGAGAAAAATATCTGCCTTTCATCCAAAAGTTTCGCGATATAAAATTGGAAAAGTCTTTGGGCTGTACACTTTCCCCTGCTTGGCTTTTGAGTTTACGGACGTGCTATCTCTGCAGAGCCTCGTCTCTCTGCGAACTTTGACTTGTCGATTTGAAGGTAAGTTTGAGTTCTGGGTCTTC